CCAGGAGCTGCCTCCCCCAGCCCCCGTCCCGCGGCCCCCTGCCGCCCCCAACCCCGCCCCACGGGCCCGGCGCCATGAGTGAGCTGGAGCAACTGAGACAGGAGGCCGAGCAGCTCCGGAACCAGATCCGGGTGAGGACGGCTGGGTTGGGGAGGCTGAGCTGGGCTGGGCCAGGCGTGGCTTGAGTGTGTTGCTTCCCGTGACCGTGTGAGTGTGTTGCTTGGTGTTGCTTGGCTTGAGTGTGTTGCTTCCCGTGACCGTGTGCGTGTGTGTGTGTTGCTTCCCGTGTGTGTGTGTGTGTGTGTGTGTGTGTGTGTGTGTGTGTGTGTAGAAGGGTATCTTACAATATCTTACCTTCCCTCCACACTGCCATGTCTCCTGTTCTTTCCTTTTTCCCCCATTGGACTTCTCTCCTTCTCCCTCTCCTGTTCTGCCTGTCACTTACAGGACGCCAGGAAAGCATGCGGGGATTCCACACTGACCCAGGTAAGGTGATTGTAGGGCTGGGCAGGGGAACTGAGGGGGATGGATTTTTGTTACCTGGGTCTCCCTGATCCTGTTGGTCTCTCCCATTTAGATCACAGCTGGGCTGGACCCAGTGGGGAGAATTCAGATGAGAACAAGGAGGACCCTCCGTGGACACCTGGCAAAAATCTACGCCATGCACTGGGGGACAGACTCAAGGTGTGTGGGTGACCCTTCTTTTAGGATCCCTAGGCTCTGGGGTGATTTTGTTTTTTTGTTTTTGTTTTGAGATGGTCTCCCTGTAGCCCCAGCTGGCCTTTAACTCACTATGTAGACCAGGCTGGTCTAGATCTCACAGAGATCTGCACGTCTCTGCCTCATGAGTGCTGGAATTAAAGGTGTGTGCCACCATGCCTAGCCCTTAGACTTGGGTGATTTTATAGTGGTCAGGGGGGCATCCTCAGGTCTGGTGGGGAGCTTTGTCAGTGCAAGTTGGGAAGATAGTCTCATCCCCAGGGGACCAGGGGAAAAGCAGGACAACACTGGTGGGACTTTGGGGTGGCTGCTGGGGAGTCTTCTCAAGAGCTGTTCTCTTCATGGAGGGGCCCTCCCTCTAAATGAGGGCTTCCACACCCTGACCCCTCTGCCTGTCCCCTGCTACTGCTGTAGGCTGCTGGTCAGCGCCTCCCAGGATGGGAAACTCATCATCTGGGACAGCTACACCACCAACAAGGTAGAGCTGGCACCTCATGTGGGCGGGGTAGGGCTGCTGGGCCCTGGCTGGCTCTGACGCTGGGTGCTGCCCTTCTTTAGGTCCACGCCATCCCACTGCGCTCCTCCTGGGTCATGACCTGTGCCTACGCACCCTCAGGGAACTTTGTGGCCTGTGGGGGTTTGGACAACATCTGTTCCATCTACAGCCTCAAAACCCGAGAGGGCAATGTCAGGGTCAGCCGCGAGCTGCCCGGCCACACTGGTGAGGGGGGTAGTCAAGGACATGGTCAGGGTTGGAGAAGGGCTGTACTGGCTTTCCTCAGACCCTGCTGACTAGCCCCTTTTCCCAGGGTACCTCTCTTGCTGCCGTTTCCTGGATGACAACCAAATTATCACCAGCTCTGGGGATACCACCTGGTGAGGCCCTGCCAGGCTGAGCTGCCTGGGCTAACCCACCCTTCCCGCTTTTGGGGCTCAGCACACCACTTAAGCACCTAGCCTTTCTCTCTGGGTGGGCACTGAGGGTCTGTCCCACCTCTTTAGGCTCTGGGTCTCCTTCCAGAAACATGTATCAGATCAGAGGTGGGTTCATGTGGTAGTGATGGTGGGGGAGCCAGGGAGTCTGTCCTTCACTTCATCTCTGAGTCTTCCTCCTGTCCCTTCTCCAGTGCCCTGTGGGACATTGAGACAGGCCAGCAGACTGTAGGTTTTGCTGGACACAGTGGAGACGTGATGTCCCTGTCACTGGCCCCCGATGGCCGCACCTTTGTGTCAGGTGCCTGTGACGCCTCCATCAAGCTGTGGGATGTGCGGGATTCCATGTGCCGACAGACCTTTATAGGTCACGAGTCGGACATCAACGCAGTGGCTGTAAGTTGGGGGGCAAGATGGGTAGGCTTCCCTTCCCCTCGACTTTGGCCCACACCCTCATCCCCTCTGGCCTACATCTTGCAGTTCTTCCCCAGTGGCTATGCCTTCACCACGGGTTCTGATGATGCCACGTGCCGCCTGTTCGACCTGCGGGCTGATCAAGAGCTGCTTATGTATTCCCACGATAACATTATTTGCGGCATCACCTCGGTTGCCTTCTCGCGCAGCGGCAGGCTGCTGCTTGCCGGCTATGATGACTTCAACTGCAACATCTGGGATGCCATGAAGGGGGACCGCGCAGGTATGGCCTCAGTGCTGGGTTCCACAGCGAAGAGGTAGAGGGTGTGGGCCAGACTGGTTCTTAAGTCCCTCTCCTCTTCCCCAGGTGTCCTTGCTGGCCATGACAACCGTGTGAGCTGTCTTGGGGTCACAGATGATGGGATGGCTGTGGCCACAGGCTCCTGGGACTCCTTCCTCAAGATCTGGAACTAACCACCCCAAGCCCAGCTGGGCCCAGGCGGGGAGCAGCCCTGCCCATGCCCACACTACAGGCCCGGAGCTCTGGGGCTGGGTACATGTGCCAAGCCTCTCTCCCTGGGCCACAGGGCCTTGGGTCCTGCTCCCCTACCCAGGTTTGGTTCCTCCCGGGGCCCCCACTGTGGAGATAAAGGCTGGGATGGAATAGGGGACACGAGGAGGGGCAGGAAAGCCCTCATCCTTTGCTGCCCTGGGGTTGGGGTCTTACCCCTCTGGAGGGCCAGAGGCAGGAGGTGGAAACTCCAGGGGCTGGCTTTTTTAAACCGGTTTTATTTTAATTTTTATTATATTTTCAGTTTTTCCATAAAGGAACCAATTCCAACTCTGTACCTGGTGTCCTCCCTTGCCTTGCTGTTTTTCTTTCTCTACTACCTGGGGCTCCACCAAGCTCCAGGCAGAGCATAAGCCAGGTCATAAGGTCCCAGATGCACACAGGCCCACCTGGCCATGCCACTGTCCCCAGTTCCTTAGCCCTTAGCTTTGTCACTCCTCCCCAGACCCTTCCCCAGGAAAAATCAGCAAACAAGGTGGGCTGGGATAACACACACTGAGTTTTATTGGGAATATTTACAAGGACAGGTAGAAGAAAGGGAAGTTACATAGGGTAGGGGTGGGGAAAATGGGAAACACAGGACACCTATACTACCCTGAACCCCAAAAGGGGATGGAGCAGCTAGGGCCCAGGAAGACTGGACTAGGGAAAGGATAAGACTAAGGGGAGGGGGTCTGAGTCCCTGGGCTAGGGGCTCAGGGCTTGTAAACATTGACCACTCTCAGAGGGGATGGGGTGGGAGAGGGATCCCCTACATTTCCTCACAGGGTTAAGGCCTCTCCAGGCTCATGGGCCCCCAAGGTCAGTCTCTTTAGCTAGGGGGGAAGGGGCAGGAAGAGACAAGTGCCCCCCCTTCCCCTGCATTGGCTGTGGCAGGGACAGGGCGGGTTACATTCAGTCACAGAGTAGTCTCCCCCACCCCTCCAACACCACTAGGCTGGCAAGAGGGAAGGGGAGCTGGGGGGCCAGCAGCAGCAAGACAGTTTCCCCCTGGCCCATCACCCCCTTATTGCTTTAGAGAGAATATTGTCTTTTCACGGACGCTAACACTGTGGAAACCAGGGAGAAGCAGGTGAAGGGGCCCTTTCACCCAGAGGCCGGCCTTATCCCCAACACTGACCCAGTTGTCACTTTGGTGCAAAAAAAAAAAAAAGAAAAAAAGGAAAAAAGTCATCTCTCTGGGGATAGACAGGGAAAGAAGGTGGGGCTACTCCCCACTTCCCCAGGACAGAGAGGAGAAATACATTCATGGAGGGGGGCAGTGGCAGTCTCACCCTAATAATACGCTCTGAGGGGAGAATTCCATGAGAACACAAAAGATAAAACTATGGGGGGGGGGGCAACAATGGAGACAAGCCCAGGCAGGGGACTAGGAGTGAGAAGTCAAACAGCAACAGGCAAGGCAACCACTGCTCCGGACACAGGGGTGCTCTTGACCTCCAGCCTTACCCAACATTAAAAAACGCATCAAGGGGAGGGGCCACTGGCTCCTCTCCCATTTGGTCGAGGGAGGGATCAGGCAGAGAGCTCAGTGGTCCACATCCCACACAGCTGGCTGCAGATAGGGGGGGCTGCCATGATGGCCCCCCACCATAGTTCAGCCCCAAGAAGCCCTTCATTGTCCTCCATCCCTCACAGGAGTAGGGGCACCACCATGACAAAGGGAGGTGGTGCTCCCCAGCTCCTACAGGAAGGTCTGTACCCCTCAGAGGGGGTGAGAGGCAGGGGCCTGGGGGCCAGAGTATACATTCATGTGGCAAAGGCAGGGAGCCAGGGCTTTCAGTCACACCCAGGCCAACCCCCAAAATGGCAGCGGTGGGGGCAGCCCCTCAGCAGGCCTGAGTTCGAATCCTACCTCTGACAGGCTGGCATTGACAGGCCCTCCATCTCCCGTCAGCCAGTGCAGGAGGGTGGCTTGGGGTAGGGGTGTGGGTGGGGTCTGAGGCAGCTTGTCCAATTTGTGCAACACTCCCCCAAAGCAGCTGAGTCAAGAGGGCAACTTTGGCCCTCAACCCAGACACCTCTGCCACAGAGAGCTGTTCACAGCAGGTCCGGCAGGTGGGACTTCTGGGGGGGGACGACGACTCACTGTGCAAACTGCCAGCAACCCAGCTTCCAGTTACCCCAGTGAC